CCCTCCCTCCCTCCCTCCCTCCTTCCTTCCTTCCTAGATTTATTTATTTGATGTGCATACGTGTGAGTGCCTGCATGTGTGCATGTGTACCGTCAGCATACCTGGTACCAGAGGAGGCGAGAAGAGGGTTTGGGATCTACAAGTGGAGTTACAAGCAATTGTGAGCCTCCTGATATGGGGTGCTGGGGACTGAACCTGGGTCCTCTGCAAGACTAACAAATGCTTTTAGCTGCTGAGCCGTCTCTCTAGCCCATTATTAACTATCTTATGTGGGGTTTTTTTTTGTAATGTTACAAATACACACAGAAGAGCTGCTTTTGGAAGCACATGTCTAATCCTGGAACTTGGGAGGTAGACGGAGGAAGATCAGGAGTTTAAGATTATGTGTGGCTACATAGTGAGCTCAATGCTACATACAGCAAGCTGTAGGAGGTCATGGTGTCCTTCCCATCCCCTACCCCCAACACAAACACACACACACACACACACACACACACACACACACACACCAAAGAAGAGAGAGGGAACTAGACCAAAACACAAACTCAAACCTCATTCATGCTGATCAGTACTTTTCTGATTTTCCTAGTAAGTTTATTCATTGCCGTGCCTCACCTGGGTATGTATTAGCAATGGCGAGGATGTGCTCACAGCTGGAGTGACTTGTACTTTGTACTGCAGACTCTTTCTGATTGGCCGTGTGTCTAGATTTAAGAGGTGCCATGATCTAATCTAGGCTATGTTCCTAGCATGGCCTAGTGATGAGTCCTTGTCTCTACTTTAAGATTCTTTGGCTAGTCTTATATTTCTAATACCTTTGATGTGGATTTTCACTTCCAAAACAGTTTCAACAATTAACATAATTTAGCAGCTCCCTCGTGTTCTTAAAAACATACCCCATGTATTTGCAACCCCCTTTTAAAATTAATTAGGAATAGGGTCTCATTTTATAGACCAGGATGGCCTGCAACTCACTAGCCCAGGCTAGTCTCAAACTCATAACAATCCTTTGACCTCAACCTCCAGGGTGTGGAATTAACCACTGTGATCCCAGTTCTGTCACTGTTAACGTTTTATAACTAAAAGTTGTTACTGCTGCAAAAAAATCAGATGTTAAAAGTAGGACTACTGAATAGCGCATTTGCTAACTTTCAAAGTGGTAGGATAAAAATGAAGACAATGCGGGTATTTTGATGTCTTTATTTTTTAGGTTGTGGAAGACCTTAAAGGTTGTGTTGCTGACGAGTTTCCTGGCAGCTTAGATGCAGATTAATTGGCATGTATTCATCAAGAAGTGAGTTGCAGCCATTGCAGCAAGTCTCAGTCTCTGCCCTGGCTCTCCTCACGTTGGTCATTCAGGTTGACCTTGGTTCAATGTGCTCTGATAACTTTCCTGTGCAGATATTTGGGCTAAAGAATACCAGCTACTGTGTGAGGACAGGGCGGGCTTGTATTGAGAAAAGGACTTCCCACATGCTTTGCTAGCCATCAGCAGCTTTTATTACTAACTATCTTCTTTGATCTGTGAAAACTATGACCAGCTTTGTGGTTCAGTCAGAAGGCAGGGCTGGTATGCGAAACCCCGTGTTTTACACATCACTTTCACATCTTGAGTTTTCTTTCTGAGCCTTAGCCTTTTTAGGTGAGGCAAAAGTCTCAGTGACCTTCAGTCGAAACGCGTTTGAGAGATGATAGTACAGGATTGGATCGAAACACAAATTGGACACAGCCAGGAGCAGTGTGGCCTCTTTGGCTTTGAAGAGGGAGATCCTAGTTGAGCAATCAGATATGACCTCTGTCTGGCTGAGGGTGTAAGGGATCCTGACAGCGTGGTACGGAACAAAGCAGATGATGTAACTGACTGTCACCAAGAGAATGTTGGCGAGAGCCGTCTTCACGTTTGCACAGTCTGCGTTGTCTCTGTTCCTGTAGAGCTGCCGAATTACAAGGAAGTTGGATATCAAAATGATGGCTGAGAAATTTAAGAATATTGCCACACATATAAAATTTGTCAGCAGATGCCAGTTTCTTCCAAACTCCTTTTTGAACTCCATGCAACCTACGTTTGACTTTTCTTTGATGTCCTTGATGGGAATCAACATGTTTGGCACCATTATGAGAAGGACCATGAGCCACACGACAGTCGATATCATCTTTGCAAATCCAGGTTCTTGTATTCGGTATATTTTACAGCTGTGTGTTAACTGAAGACAGCGGTCCATGCTGACAAAGGCTAAGAAGATAATAGAGAGGTACATATTGATGTAGATGAGGCAGGCTGTTACTTGGCAGTGGAATATCTTTAGCTTCCAGGGTGCCACACCCAAGTCAACAACAATTTTTACTGGCAATGCCAAAGTGAGCAGGAAATCAGCTGTAAGCAGGTTGATTAAGTATATGCTCACACACCTTTGATTTGTGGTTTTCTGTATAAAAGCCCATGTTGCAAAACAACTTCCAATGATTCCAATGAGGAAAACTAAATAAAAAAAGTATGTAAATGGTTCCAGATCGCTGTAAACGGGACAGAACAGTGAACTATTTGTCATCTTCAGAGATAAGCTTGAGTTCAATATTTAAAAATAACCGTCCACGGCTCTGTTAAAAAGAGTAGGAGGGAGATGTTAGTAACTAAAATTAGGAAATACTTTTTTAAAAGAAACATTTGTACTCAAAATTCATGGTCTTTCTAGTTCTTAGGAAGAGTTTCACTGGGCTAGTGGGAACAGCTTAGATCGTTCCGAATTCTCCCTTGTCTGATTTCTGTGACTTTCAGGAAATCCCAAGTAAATTTGTTCTTAGGAAGGGATGTTTTTGACCTTGTGGGTTTGTGTTGCATGCTGTCTGTGACCAGTTGAGGGTGAAATTTCTTTGCAGAGGAGGTAAGTGACCAGAGGTTCTGGGAAGTAGAGAGAGGAAGGTCCTGTGGTTTTGTCTGAAAAAGAGTTCAATGTAGCTTTCTGCTTTCTTTTTGTAGGTTTTGTAGCTTATGCTGCCAGAACCTAGGCTGGTTGGAGAAAAGAGATGACAGTAAATTTAACAAAGGTTTTTTATATTGTTATTTTGAAAGCAGGTCCTGTGTTTTGAATCCTCCTAATAGATTTTTTAGAAATAAAATTTTGTGTCTTATTTTCAGTGGGAGGAGTTGAAGGGTTAGGCTCTGGTTCTGAATTGATGCCTACTATCTCTCTCATCGTGTTCCGGTTTCATAATGGTATACACCTGTAAAGCCAGCCTTGTGGCCTCCAGCCGTGTGGGCCTGGTGAACACCATAAATGCTGAACATCTTCCAGATTGAATTTAGTTGCCATTTTTAAGTCTGAGTACCCATCGGATATTTTTTTCTTATATTATGCTTGCTATGTTAATGAAATTACTTTCTTCTATTTATTTTTACTTTTTAAAATTCCAATGGAAAAAGTTGTATTGTTGGAGTTTGACAGGTACTTTGTTGAACATAATGGCTGTAACTTTTTCTACGAAGTGTTTTTAGTAGGTCTGTGAAAGTGAATCTTAAAGCTTCTAGAACAGGGGTCTATATTTATTGGTTACAGCATTTTTCAAGAATGGGTCAGTTGTACCAGTATTAAAACTTGTACGTTGATTGGACCTGCTGGTGCTCATTTATAATCTCATCACTCAGGAGGTACACTAGTTTAAGCTCTTTCTTGGCTAAATGGCAAGGCCAGCCTGGTATACATGAGACCTTGTCTAATCTAAAGCAAAACGAAGCAAAAGCCCCTTCTAACTTTCATAGTAGGGAACCACCACAATCGAGCCTGATAATGACAATAACATGCTCCTTCCAGGTAGAGAATACTGGCTTGACTTGTGGGCGCGAGTTAGACTGAGCTCCCTCTGGTGTGGTCTAGTCTCGCAACATGTTTAGGAACACACGTGGTACATTGTGTGATGCCTCCTGATGTGGGCCATCCATTTTCATATTAACTAATATTCCTTTTTAAGTGAAGCCAAAAAAATACCACTTTCATAAAGCAAATCTATGTGGAATTTTCTGAACGTCCCGGAAATCAGACGGTGTAAAACCTAGGCTTCTCAGTCTCCAGAGTTTTATCAGGAGCAAAGTCACCTGTAACGTTGCAGGATACTGAGACTTCAGTGACTGACAATAGTGACTGACCCAGCAGCCATAAAACCCTCTTTAAATCAAACAACTTCTAACGACTATCCAACTTTCACACCCCAAAATAGTTAATGATACGATGTGTGCCTTTAAAATTTATTTGTCATTATTATTATGCTTGTTCGTGTGCATGTGGAAGTCTGTGGACAGACAACTCTGTGGAGTCCGTTTTCTCCTTTCACTTCTCCAGAATTCTGTGATGGGACTTAGGTCTACTCATGCACCCAATTTACACCTTCACTCCTGAGCCATCTAATGGCCATTGCATCTTGGAATGATGCAATGATTGCAAGTAAGCTGATAAGGGAGATGTCTGCCTAACTGTCTTAAGTGTTACTTAAAGGTTACATGCTCTTCCCTTTTCCCCACAGGACTGAGGGCTTTTGGGGTTCACTGGTACTGTCATTCTGTACCAACCAACCTTAACGAAAATGTTAAAGCATTTACTTTTTATTTGTGATGACTACCCATTTTTTTTTATAGTACATTTTATGAGTCCTGTTGTGTGGTTGCTATAATCTGAGGTATACCAAGCTAAAATCCATTGCTTGGAGAGCTGGCAAATTACAGAGCCAAGAGTCCATCGCAGTCATATTTTAGAAGCCATAGTAATGTCAATGGAGGTTCTAATGTTAATGATTGGTGCTCTAAAAACCAATCCTTACCTGAGGGTTATGTGGCAGGAATATTCTTAGATGTTTTCACGTAAAACAGCTGCAGTAAACTTCTTAGTTTTAACTTTCTTCCCAAGCACTCTAGTAATAAGAGAAGTATAGACATTCCATGTGTTTTGCAGTGTAATCTTACTCTGTGTGTGTTTATACACGCATAAATACACATACATTTAAAATTTCACTTTAGGTCTTTTATGTAATTTCTGTACACTGTCAAAGTTACCATGACTGAATATTCCTTTAATATTCCTGGTGTCTGTCTTTGTTTTCAGTGTTGGGTTTGAACTCAAGGCTCCTGCATACATAGCACGCGATTTCCCACTGATCTATCCCTCCCTTAATCCCGAGTCTCAGTTTAGATTGTTTGAGTCTGCACTGCCTGTGAATAAGTCCTACCCATCTCTATACCTAAGCATGTGGTAGAACTTTAGAATTGTGGCACTTTAACGATGAGTGGATTCTTTTCTGTCCTCAAATCAATTGAGGAGACTGCAAAGTGCCCAAGATTTCCGCAGCTTATTGGAGCAAGATGAGGATCTGTACTTGCTGATCTCTGGACTCTGAGCCTCTCTCCTTCTTCCTCTTTGTGAGTCCTGCCTATAGACCTGTGGGAGACTCTTCACATCTGAATTCACGCTAGGCTTCTCTGACTTCCTTATAGACATTTCTGATGTTGCATAGTGATAGAAAATAGTAACTTGTTTCTGTAAGTGTCCTATTGCTTGAATAACTATATGTCAAGCTCTCGTTTTATCAGTAAGACATATGGTAATGAGAAGAATTATAACAATTTGTCTTGATTGGTATTCTCTGTATTTATAACTGACCATCTATTCCAGAGTGGGGTAATTTACTTCAAATAGTTACAATGTAACTAATGCTGAAGAGTCCTGAGTGCTTGGCATTTGCTTCTTAACTGTGTCTAGATTGCCATGAAACAACAGTTTCTCAGAACTTAGCATATGTTGATCAGTAGGCAGAATTGTATCATAACAGCGTCCCAGGCTCTCTATCACAAATCTCAGATCCAAGAGCTCGATAAACTCTGTGGCAGTGGTATCTGTGCAAAGTAGGCAAACTCTGCTATGTTCTAGCGAAATCCAGAATGGAAATTAAACGTCTCCTTGGCTCCTTCTCATAGCTGACTCATTACTTTGGGGATAAAACAAAACAGAAGAGTAGATTTTCCACAGGAGCCACTGTAGACATGCTTTGAAATGTGCTAATGAAGGACTGGTAGAGGAATGTCTGGTCATGACCTGCCGGGAAGTTACACCACGGCTGTCCGTATAGATCTAGTTAGAAAAGTGACTAGCTCAGGCTGTCCCCGCTTGGATAATTGGTCTAATTTGAATATATATATATATATTTTTAATTTAAAGACAGATGAGGCCAAATGAGAACAGAAAATGCTGATAGGAGTCCAACACTGAAAATCATGACTTTGGTTCCCATGGGAAAAACTGAATTAGTTAGCCATTGAAAAGGACTTACCTGGTGGTGTCCTCTGAGCCAGGCCTGGGTCCGGGTCTTCAGAGAAACGTGAGCTGTTTAGCTAGCCAGAGTGATGGCAGTCCCATTTTGCAGGGTTGTCTGCTGAACTAAAAATTTCCTTTCCTTTTTGTGTGGTTTTAAAATGTTACAGATTGACGTAGATGAAACTGTGGTTTGCAAATGGTTTAAGCTGTTTGAAAGTCTCCTGAGGAAGTTTTTTTTTTTTTTAAGAAAACATTTTTTTTTCTATCTTAAGTAACTTAATTGTCAGTTACTGTTTTAGAGAAGATATTTTTATTTATCCATCATAAATACCTTGCCTGCTTTTTCTTTTATTACTAGAAGTACCCCCAGACTTTTCCGTTTTATAATAGTTTAAAAAAATACCAGTGTTAAAGTCTTGAAAATGATGCTGAGTTTATGACATAAGACAGTAAGGCATGTAACAGATACTTGTTTAGTATAGCCATAGACACCGGCATTTCAAAGGTACAATTAAATAATATTGTTGCAGCTTATATTCTTGCTAAGATATCTGTCAATTTAAAAATTCCCAATACAGTGGCCAGTAGATATCTGTGGTCCCAGCATTTGGGAGGCAGAAGGAGGGTGAAAGCCATGAACTTGAGGCAGCTGGAGGCAGGCTGGGGTCTGTCGTGAATCTAGGACCAGTCTAGGCTATCATGTGAGACCATCTTCAGAAATTAACACAAGATAGGATCTGATGGGTTGTGGTTTACTCTGTTATTGTTGTTAATTCCAGAAACATACTTTTCTACATTTATTATTATTATTATATGTGTGTGTGTGCATTTACCCATGTGTCATATAGCATGTTTGTGGAGATACATGACAACATTAAAAAATCAGTTTCTTCTTTCCACCAAGCAGGATTGTACTCAGTTTGTCTGACCTGGTGGCAAGCACCTTTATATACCTTGAGCCATCCTGCCAACTCCATTTTAGAAAAGCCTTGAAAGAAAAAATAAAAGAACATCATTGGAACAACAGAGAGATAGCTGCCATTCTCCCCTTTCTTTGGTTTATGTAATTAACTTTTTCTATAGATGTAATTGTGCATATGACTTTTGAGTTATTACTTCATAAATATATTACATGTAAACCAGGGAGCTGGCTCAGCAGGTTACAGTGCTTGCCACCCAAGTCTGACAGCCCAGGTCAGTCCTGGGAACCCGTGTAAAGGTAGAAGGAGAGACCCACTCCATAACCTGTCCTCTGACAGGCACATACCACCACAATACACACATATCCACACTCATATCCACACATCATGTTAATAGTGCATTAAAAAAAGTTAAAGGATGTATTTCATCTCTTTTCCAAGTTACGAGACTAAAACAATCAGACAGTATTTCTCAGCTTCACCCCAACAGCTTAAAGAAATGAGACATGCATTTAGAAATTATACCTTATGTTGCAAAGTTAACTATTCCCCTACCGTGACATTAACTAGTGTCTGAATAGAGCCAAACTCCGAGGTTGTAGCCTGTCCAACAACTTGCTGGTCTGAATGAGAAGTTTTGCCTCATTAGTGATTGGCTTTATTTTTCTTTCATAAGAGTAGACCCCCAACCCCTTTAGCCAAGGCCTTGGGTTATTAGAGCAAGGCTAGCTTTTATGAATATTAGTTTCTGGCCCCAAACATATTTTGATAAATACATTTATTGTGATAAACATAAATTTTGTTGTGAGAGACCAGCCTACCTACTGTCTGTCTATTATCTATCGTAATGAACATGCTGGTGCACATTTAATCAGTAAGTGCCAAGCTGTGGCCTCCGTAGGAGAGACGTTTGCAGGAAAGAGACTTGCGGTAGTCAATCAGAGCTTTTATTCCCTGGGTCTAAGTGTGAGGCGAAGGGAATTTACAGGTGGAACTGGTTGCAAATTGGGTAGGGAGTGGTTTTAGTGAGATAGGAAGGAAAGCTGGGATAAAGGTTTCCTGGGGAAATTTTTCTTTATTTTGGGTAGGTGTTTTATTTGTTCACTTCCTTGTTTTAGTTTAGGTTTAGATGACCAAAACGTACAAGCAACTAACTGTTGTTAAAAATCTAAGACTAGTGTTTATGTTTGGGTTGCCAAATGTGAGCAAGCCAACATTGTGTTGGTTCTTTGTCCCTGCACCTCCTCCCTGAGCAGTACAAACTAATCTGTTTGATTTTGTGTTTATGGGATAGGATTTTGCCACATAAACCCAGAGTGGCCTCAGGCTCACAGGAATCCTCCTGTTTGAGGCTCTCCACTGCTAAGATTACAGATATGTGTCACCATTGCCTGGCAGGAACCAATTTGTTATAGTGAAACCAAATTTTATTTTTTATTTTTGGTTTTGTTTTGAGACATGGTCTCCCTTCATAGGCAGCTGGCTTGACGCTCCACATCCTCTTGCCCCCGCACCCTGAGTTTGGGATGAGCAGCCCATCTGCATTCTCACTTTGAGAATAAGTTCTGACTGTCTGAGTTGCCGGAGAAAACGTCTTCCTCTATTGGCCTTAGTAATTTTTAAATTTTGAATATTTCGTACATAGGAACTTTATCTACATCATTTCAGCCGCCCTCTCTCTCCCTGCTCTCATCCACCCTGTGTCCCACATTCATCTCAAATTCATGATTTCCTTTAATAATTATTTTATACACATGTGTGTATATATAAATGTAGACTGCTGTACCCATTTGGTGTTGCTTGTAGCTGTATATATTCAGGGCTGATTGCTCCTGGTTAGACAGGTTCATCCCTTGAGAACACCGATTCTTCCTCGTGAGCCGTCACTACTGGCCAGTATTTCTGCATCTGGGGATGGCACCTTGGGATATTTCCTCCATCCACACTGGCTGGCGTGTCACCTGGTGGTGTCATTGTGAGTAAAGCTCCCTTGTCATATACTGAAGACACTGTCTCCCGGCGGCTGTCCTGGTCCTCTGGTGCTTCTGTTCTTTCCAGCTCCTCTTCTGAGATGGTCCCTGAGCCTTAGGTTAGGGGTTGTACTGTAGATGTATCCACTGGGGTTACACACCCCACAGTCTGCGGTTAGGAATCGTGCCGGTTGGTGAAAAGTAGCAGCCGTAGGTTCTCCTCTAGAGTCCACGACCTCATCACCTAGGCACATTGGCTAGATTCATAATACCAGGCATAATTTCATCCTATTTAGTTAGCCTTAAATCCCATTAGAAAGCTTTATTTAAACATCTCTCAGTTGTAAGTGCCACTATTTCAGCCTTGGGGATATCCTGCCCTGATGGCCAAGTTGTGGTTGTTAGGTATCACAGCCGAGGAGGACCATTGATTGCTTTTATCCCTCGGCAGCTTGCATAGCATCTTTAGGGTACTTGAGAGGCAGGGAGACTTTGGGGTCCGTCCCATCTGAGTTCCCCCCTTTCCTATTTCTCAACTGTATGGTGTCTTCAGCAGTTGGGTCTGATGTTGAGGTTCTGGGAGACAGCCAGGGGCAAAAGCAATACCCTGTATTGTTCTAGGGCATTTCTTTCCACTTTAGCAAAGGACCAGATGGGAGGTTCCCTTCGCTTGGCACTGCAGTTTTTGTTCCATAGTCTGTGTCTCCTGTGGGAGGCATTATCACCCCAAGTGCCATAGCTTCATTCAAGCTGTGTGAGTATTTATGTACATGTACATGCACATTTATGTATAGTATATATATGAGGTTTTTATTTTCTATTCTTTTATTTTGGTTTTTGAAGACAGGGTTTCTCTGTGGCTTTGAAGCCTGTCTGGGAACTCTCCGTAGCCCATGCTGGCCTCACACTCACAGAGATCCACCTGTCTCTGTCTCCCGAATACTGGGATTAAAGGCGTGCACCACCACCTGGCATATATATTTATTTTGAATTAGACATAAAATAATGTTTGCCTGTGGCTTTAAGGAAACATCCTCAGGGTTATGTATCACCCACCCCTCCCCTCTTTTCTCTGTTCTGTTCCTATCCCCACCTCATCTCTCTCTCTCTCAGCTTCCCTCATCACAGCCCCTGTGTTCTCCTCTCCCTCCTCTAGAGCTCAAGCTTGAGATACTAAGTTTTTAATGCAGAGGTTTCATTTCAGTCGCCTGAAGCTCCTTCTGTCCCATTGAGGGTCAATACTTTTCAGGTCGTAGCTTGTTAACGTTACAGGAAGCTGCATGCCACCACTAACCCACTCTTTCAGAAACCCAAGTGGGAAGAAATGAGGTAAAGGTATTTTCCCCTTATTTTGATTCTGGTGATACTTTAATTCAAGAAATGATAGTTATTTTTTATTTATATTTTATATGTATAAAATGATTTGCCCCACAAATTGATTTGTGATCCCCTATGCTGTCCATAGCATCATTAAAAAAATTCTTCAACACAATTTCCAGATAATAATACTTTTAAATTAAAAAGATTTTGAGAAATTTGTATGTGAGTCCTCTATATTGTTTCTGTCCTTCCCATAACTCCTGTTATGTCCTCCCTTCTTTCACAGTCACAGCCTCTCATTTTTAAATTATCATTGTTACATATGTATACATGGGTGTAGACAACCTACTGAGTCTGGCCTTGCCTGTTTGTGCTCGTGCCCAGGCCTGACCTCTTGGGATTGGGCAGTTTATGTGGGAGCATGTCCCCGGACAAAAGCTGTCTCAGCTGCCAGGGAACGTGTAGCTCTTCATCAAGGGGTGGGACGTTGTGGATTTGCCTTAGCCACACTTGCATGTCAGCTGTTGGTGTTAATTATGTTGGACTTATTTAAATAACCATGCTGTTTAGAGTTCGTAGGTGCCCTTCCCCTGTGACATCTAGGGGGCGCTATTTAGCCACAGGCATCCCGGTCCTGCGGCCCTTGTATTCCTCCCCAGGTGTTCATTGCAGACATGTTAGTTGTGACTGGGCTTGCCGCACTCAGTCTGCAGTTTGACCAGCTGTGGATCTGTGTAGTGGTCTCTGTCTGTTGGAGAAGAAAACAAGCACATAGCTTTTCTGATGGTGGCTGAGAACTGTAGTTATCTGTGGGTTTAGGGATAACTGTTTAGAATGCAGTTAGAAGTGCCATGATTTTGGAGAAATGATGGTAGATTTTCCTTTAGGGTGTACGACCTCTCCAGCCTGGGTAGTTGTTAACTAGGTTTACAATAGCAGGTGTACATTCCTTCCCATTAAGAGGACCTTCGGTTTAGACAGCTAGTTTCTCTCTAAGATGAAGGTAACAGTGTTGCACTATTATGGATATCTTGCTGGTCCAGTCATTGTTGTGGTTTGTGGGCTTTACAGCTAAGAAGGTCTATGTATTACATCCTCTGATCATATGAGAGCCAGTCTTTAGGAAGGAGGCTTCCAGAAGGTCAGTTCTAACTGGGTCATTCCAAGTCCTGTATCCTAAGTGTATGGCATCTTCAGTAACAAAGTCTTATCTTCAAGAGCTTTTAAATTTGCCCTTTAGGGTTCTTCGCATCAGAAATAAAACAACGATAGTGCAAAGGGTCAACGGGGAAAGATGAGAGTCACAAGTACAGGCCCAGTTGATAACCTTAACCTCAGGAACAATGCACTGTCCATACAGACAACAACCTGCTATTTCAGAGAAATCCCTGGCCGGAGATGATTCTGTAGGGGCAATGTTTGTACAATTGTGGGGAAGTGGGACACTGGAAAAACTGCCCTCAGTGGGGCTCTTAGAAATGGGGTTTTGCCTGTGTTCAGGGGTGAAAATCACGAAAGCAGTAGTGCCCTAGTCTGCAAAGGAACAGTGAGCTGCTGCGTCCTCGAGTCTGGAGCAGCCTGGCAGGAAGTAAGCGTCTGGGTAGTAGTCTAGCTGCAAGAGAAACCTTAGTAAATGTTAATGACAGCACTCTTAATCATATGTTGCCATTATTACGTTCTGACCGTAAGTTTCCTTGGTGCTTGGGTCTTCTGTAGCATGAGTACGTTTCCTGGTTTGGGTTTACTGCTTTTTATTTCCATATTGAAAGATCTTCTAGGATAAAACTACTGTCTACAGTCCTTTCTCATCTTAAGGCATGTTTTTTTCTTCAACTTTCTTCACCAGAAACGTGTTTTATACTAATAGGTGTATCTCAGTGATATACCTGCAGCCCTCAGTCCTCTCTGATCGCCTCATCCATCATGGCTACACTGACTTTTTTTTTTTCTCTGTCCTTCGCTATTATTATCTCTGGGGCTGGTGAACAAAGTTAACCCATGGGAGCTGTTCACAATTGCAGTTGCATCCAAAGTAAAAGGAATTGGAGCTAATTTGATACTTTTGATTTATGTGACCACTCACTTACAAGCCAAGTTGATGCTGCGGTGTAAACAATGTAAAAAGACAGTCACGTAGACTCATAGCCACACAAGAAGAGAGAATAAAACATCCGTCGATTCTGTAGTCCCTAATTAGAACTGTTGGTGTTGAAGGTGTGCGTGTATGTCTGTATGCAGGAGCCAGACAATAGCATAGGATGTTTGCTGGCACTTTCAACCCTATTCCTTTCTTCCGTTTAGGCATGGTCTCTCCCCCAAACCCAGAGCGGAGGCTGGCCTTGAACTCCTGACCACCCTGCCTCCTCTACCTTCCAAGTGTTTAGAACGTGTGTGTTGGCGTAGACAAACTTTTTTTTTAATGTTTCTTTTGTAGGCATCTACTTTTATAAAATTGTAATCCACATGTCATCAGACTCTAGCAGCAAATAGCTGATCCAAAGGAAGTAGTGATTTTTCGCTGATGATCACACATTAGTAGTTCCAAACAGATGCCCACATAGAGATGCACACCTAAAAGATCACCCACGCCAGTTTTGGAAAGTGGGGAGGCTGTGATAATCTGTTTGTAATCGGTATAGTATCTCTTTAATTTTATTTTAGATACTATAATATAATTACATTTTCCCCTCCCCTCAAACCCCCATAAGACAGCAGTTCTCAATCTGTGGGTCGAATGACCCTTTCATAGGGGTTGCATAGCAGATACCTGAATATCAGTTAGTTACATTACGTTTCATAAAAGTAGCAAAATTACAGTTACAAAGTAGCAATGAAAATAATTTTCATGGCTGGGAGGTCACCACAGCATAAACTGTATTAAAAGGTTGCAGCGATAGGAAGGTTGAGAGCCACTGCCCCACATACCCTTTCCCGGTCTTCAAATTCACGGTCTCTTTTGTCATCAGTTTGTTATATGTGTTTGTATACACGTAGATAGTCCTATGTATAACCTGCTCAGTCCCTACAGTGTTCCCTGTGTCTTCAAGACTGGCCTTTTGGCGCTGGGCAGTCTTCTTAGATGACAGTTTTTGTAGCGAGTTTACTAGTTGACATACCCCAGTGTCCAAGGTTCTGGGTGTGGCTTTAGGTGGGGGCTGAAATAGGCCTTCAGTGTAAAACCAGGATTAGATTTGAAGCAGTTTTCGTCTGCCTGCTGTGGTGTAAGCCTCCAATCTTAGGCGTTCCCGCACATCTGGAGTTTACATCGCGACAGCACCCCTCCCAGAAGGTTTCTTGAGGATGAGCCCGGGGTTTTCTTTCACTGGGTCAGTTCTGATCTTGTTCCATCCCAAGTTGTGACAGCTGGATTCAGGCTGGCTGCTTCATTGCCTAGTACTAACTCACCTCTGCTAACTGTATGGCTCAGAACCTAAAAAGTGGCTTTCTCAAAGGGAAATGTTTCCTTGTTGTGTTGCTAGAAAAAAATGCTGTGTTGCTAGAAAAAAAAAAAAAAGAAAAAAGAAAAAGAAAAAAGAGGGTGGAGGCTGAGGAGATAAACCAGAAGGTGAATGCTATTTTTTTTTTTTTTTAAAATTGCATCATGAAATTTGCCGGCAAGTGGAAGAACTAGAAAAAAATTATCCTAGTAAGGTATCCTGGCCCAGAAAGACAAAAATGCTATGTATTTATAGGTGGCTGTTAGTTGTGAAGTCAATGATAACCAAGCTACAAGAACCACGGAAGGTAGATGTAGAGTAAGGGTCTAGGGGGAGCAGGTAGATCTTGTCAGGAAAGGGAAATAGAAGTGGGGGATCAAATGGGAATGGGTGGGAGAAAGGGTTGTGGGAGAGAATGTGGGGGAGAGACAGTTAAAAAGCTAAAAGTAAGGAGCATTTGAGGGCTAGTATGGAAAGAGCAGAACCTTTCTAAAACGTATACATGTATGAAGGTAATAAATGAAATTGCCAAATGATGGGGAGACAGAGTCCCAACTGGTCATTTCTTGTTACTAAATGAAGCTTCCAGTACCAGGATTGGGTTACATCTAATCTAGTTATTGGTCAAATAGACCCCATGGGAATCCTAAAACAACCCAGGCTGTTGCCAAGACTACAGGTTGCTCTCCACTAACTGACAGCTAGGCCTTATTGCTGAAGACAACACCTACACAACTCACTGAGCGAGAGAGATTGAGCGGATGTCTCCATAGAGTCTTTACCCCTATCGTCCAGCGTCTTCGGCACAGAAGGGTACGCTGCACAGCCTCAAAACCTAATAGTGGCTCTGGCACGCAGTAATTGTTACTCTGCTGTGATTTCTAATCCCATTATCCCCCTGACATACCATTTCCTAAAATGCTTGCTTTCCTATTAGTCATGCGCCTTAGCATAGTGGTTACAAAGACATTGCTTGGTCCCACAGGGGAAGGTGACTTTGTATTGTGGAGAGAAGAGGATGGCGGCAGTGGAAGAGATCACCACGTGACTCAAGCTTTACTTAGTACCTTTCTCCACTTCTTACATTTGCTTCAGTAGCCTAGTCAAGGGGAGGTTTGCGCTGGCTGTGGGAATTCTGAAGGATGATAAACACAGTCCCCTTCCCATCGCCATGTGCATTTAATCCAACACGTATAGCAAGCTTAGTCCTCAAGATCTGACTGAAGATCTTGGGGAGTTTTGTTCTTTGTTGATTTGACCGATGACTGGAAGCGTGGAGTTTCTGGGCAAGTGAGGAATGTTGTCTAGCAGCACAGAAACGTTCCTGTTTCAGTTTAGGCTGTGTTTGGTCTAAAGCTTTAATGAGACACAGCGCATATGAAATACTCATTTGGGAAAGTCAGAGACAAGTGGAATGTTTCCGTTTTCTGTGTAACCACCTTCTTTGCCCTGAAGTGTGACTAAGCACACTGTGCTGAACCAGGTACGGTTGTGAGGAAATCTGGGGGTGTTCCTACACACATTGATTATTAATAAAAAGAAATCCCCGATGGTTTTGAAGGCAACTTGTTTATTGGTACACACAGAATGTAAAACATTAAGTAGATATGAGCATTAATAGAAAAAGATATTTAGGAAGAACACCTGAAAGATTGGGTGTCTCCTAGGAAGCAAGGTAATAGCAGAGAAGGATTTAGTTTTGGTTATTTGTAGACCACATGCTATTCCTCCATTTATTTGATATCTAAAAAGTGATGTGCAAAGACTTTCATTTTACATGGAAAGTTGGAGTTTTATTGTTCTTATTGTTTTGAACTTCATACTTCCTGCCGGATAATATTGGTAGATAGGTTACTTGTTGTCAAAAGCATGCATTTTACCTATACTTCTTAATTGTCATGTAACAACATGGACAGTACTCGGAAGGGCGTGGGAAGTCACAAAGTATCTGTGCTTTCATGAACTGTATTTCCCCTCTTGGTTTTGGACGTGTCTGTGTCATTCTGGACGTTTAGTGAGATGTGTAGCTTCTTATTTAAGACTTCCCTAAATGGCTGGCATAAGAAGAAATAAATAATGGGGTCCAGACACACGTTTGCCGCAGAGAGTAGCAGAGTGAATTCCTTCACGTAGAGCAGGGTTTCCTTTGACTGGCAGCTGTAATGAGCCTCCGTCTGACTCTTTGTGTAAGGGATTCTGGCAATGTGGTAAGGTACAAAGCAGACAAAAAATACAAGCACAATGCTGAATATGTTGCGACTGGACTTCCTTTTGACCGAGATGGAATTCCTTCTGGACTTGAGGTGAGACTTGAAGATTTTCCGCGTGATAGCCGTGTAGAAGATGATTAACAGAAGAAACACAATCCAGAAAATGCTCACGAAGGCATAGTTAGATGCTTTGTGCCACTTCTTCCCCAGCTCATTTTTGAGTTCCATACACTGTATTTTCGTAATCTCCTTGACACTCTGGTTTGTCAGGATGATGTTCGGGACAGCAAGGAGGAGCATGAGCATCCAGACAATCACAGATACCAGTTTGCTGTAGTTCACTGACTGGACGACAGAAGTCAAAAGGGGCTTTACAATTTTATAATACCTGTCGAAGCTGATGAGCCCAAAGAACACAATGCTGACATACATATTAACGTAGAAGATCACGGCAGAGACTCTGCACACAAACACATTCACCTGCCAGGGACCGAGGCCTGAGTCGCCAAGGACTTTGAAAGGGAAAGTCAGGCCCATCAGAAAGTCAGCCACAACGATGTTCTTGAGATAGATGATGAAACTCTTAGAGCTAGGCACATAAAAGAATACCCATCCCGAGATGCCATTGAGGAGGATCCCCGTGATGAAGACCACGCAGTACAACACAGGAATGATCTGCTGCGTGATCAGGGTGTTCCGGGAGCAGGACTGGTCTGGAGGGTCTGTGGTGGTTGAATTGGCCATCTTGTAACTTCTGGAGGCGAGGATCTGGGTAGAGAAGCAGACTAGTTACTTGCAGTACAATTTACGGCCTTCACGTCATTCATGACTGATACCTGATAGTGGAGGAATGTGAATCTGGTGAAACCCGCCAAGATTCTGAAGCGTTTACTCCCTCTTGTGGAGTTTTTATCTCCCTTCAGATGGAAAGCATGGGGCGAGCTCTCATTAGCCCAGAGGGTGGCATCCTCCCACACAGTGCTTTCTTCTAGGTCTGAGGACAGACTAATTTGAATATAGGCTTGAAAAGTAGCAACTTTAAGACAGTATATATATATATATACATATACATATATATATATGTATATGTATATGTATATATATATATTTATTTATTTTGGTTTTTCAAGACAGGGTTTCTCTGTGGCTTTGGAGCCTGTCCTGGAACTAGCTCTGTAGACCAGGCTGGTCTCGAACTCACAGAGATCCGCCTGCCTCTGCCTCCCGAGTGCTGGGCTTAAAGGCGTGTGCCACCACCGCCCGGCAAGACAGTATATTTTACTACTGTATTTATATTGTAATGTCTACTATTAATATTGTAATGTCTACAATAGTTTGTAATGTGTCAGTCTTCTCTCTGTATACTAGATAAAATGATGAACTCATAAACTGAGCCTTCCTAGCACTTTTGAAGAGTTGTTGAGGTGGATAGGTAAAGAAACTCACAATGCATATGTTTTTTACATAAGACAGTATCTTAAAAACATCTACACTTACACTTTAGCTGGGATTTTTAATAATTAATGAGTAATTTTTTTAACTTTTTAAGAGATTTATTTGTACTTCGTGTGTATGAGTGTGTTACCTCCCCGCCTGCATGGGTACCATGAGTGTGCAGTGCCCCTGGAGGCTGGAAGGTCTTGGATTCCCTGACACTGGAGGTACACAGACAGTTGTGAGCTATCATCTCTGGTGTGAAACAAACTGGAGTCCTCTGCAAGAGCAGCAAGTGGCCTTATAACCTGTGCTCCTTCTCTCCTGCTTGACTGAGTCATTTTGAAAAATTGAGCCTTTGTATTTTCATTGAAAAACTGGTTGCAATATTTTCATAAATCAGAAAATACAATGACAAAAGTTCTACAGAAAGTTTAAGCATGCTTCCCAAACTCTCTTCTCAATTAGACCTGTCTAATGAGTTGGTGTTAGCCACAAGCGGCTTCCTAGGGTTTTTCTTTTCTTCTTTTGGTTTTAAATGTCAGCAGTGCTTCCTGAGGGTGGGTGCTCTGTAGGAGTAAAATGTTCATCACCAAATCGTGCAGACAGGATGAAAAAGAAAGTGCGATATCATTTATTTGTAAAACATGTTGAGATGACAAATTAAAAAAAAAACGTTTCATTAGCTAAATGTGTAGTTAATCTTAATTGCAGGTCCCTCTATTTCTTTTGTGTGTGTGTGTGTGTGTACTTGTTTTATTTTCTTTCCCTTATCTGTTGGATCTTCACATAGACTTTGTGTAGAAAATTGATTGCTACCTTCATAGCTGGCAGGCTTCTCTTCATTATTGATCTGGATGCCATTTTCTTTAAGAAGTTTTACTCTCCCACACTGAGCTATGATTGGTTGAATGTGTGGTTACGTGTGTGTGTGTGTGTGTGTGTGTGTGTGTGTGTGTGTGTGTATGAGTGTGCCTTTCTCCTGTCGCAGGGCTCATCTCTGGCTGTTATGTTTCCTTCAGAAGAGAGCCTTGTATTTAGGGCATTAAGTAGTTGAGATACTTGTAAAATAAACACCAGGCATGCATTACCCCTCTCAGAATACTTGCATCTAATCCATAGTTGTGGGAAAGAGATTGCTGAGGACAGTGTGTTCCTTAGGCTACAGATGTATCTTGCTTATATTGCTGGTGCTTGGCAGCATGTTTCCTACATAGTTGGTGGCAGACTATGCCAATGAAATAGGGAAATGTAAGAAGGGAGGATTATGGCTATGCAATACGAAATCCAGTTGTATTCCGTATAAAAAGTATAATAGGACCAGCAGTGTACTGCTTCCTTCAGTGGAATGCCTTTTTTCCCTTTGTATTTTTCTTTTCATGTGTCTTATGGTAAAACTAGAAATACATCTTGCTACTTGATCCTGCCAATGTATATATTTCTTGTGCAAGAAAAATTACTTAAAGTTCCTTCCCCCATAGAAGCTTTTATTCACCCTTCCCCCTCGAGCCGCTGCTGTGTGTGCTTGGCTCCGCAAATGAGTTTGCTGCCTTGATGGTCTCTTATGTTCTTACACATATGTTATGGCTTCATATATTGTAAGTAGCGTTTATACTACTATAAAAAATACCTGAGATGATTGATTTACAGTAAGAATAGAGTCACTTTGACTCACAGTTTGGGAGGCTCCAGGTCATGATTGTTTGGTCTGCTGATCTGGACCTATGGCTAGGCAAAGGAGGGAAGAAAAAGGAGAGACTGGGATCCCATTGTCTCCATCCAGACCTTGACATATATTTCAGTATTTATCTACCATCTTCCAGTAGTGTTACTCTGGGGATACGTCTCCAACACATGGCCTTTGAGGGACATTCAGCATTCAAGCCATAGTTGATATTAAGTGGTTAGTGACAATGAGCATCTTTTCCATGTTTTCATTGCTTTCAATAACTTGCCCCCTCAGTTACATAAATTTTTGTCTGAAAGCCAGCTTCCCAGAGCTTGAGTGAATTAATACTGCTGTTTTCCTGGCTTTTATTTGGTGGCCTCAGTCACCATCCTCTTAGCTACAGTGGTGCAGAACTCATTTATTTTCGGGATTATTTTGAAGTTGTGTATACAATTTTGAAGGAGAGAGAGAGTTGAACTGCGTGATAATTATGTAATGAAGCAGAATTTCCCTGAAATGATTTAATGAGAGCCAGATTCTTTCCCTTTTAGCTTCTAGAAGTCAGTATAAATAGAACGGTAACACATTTCCCTGAAATGATTTCATGAGACACATTCCCTTCTTTGTGGATGCTCGTGTAAAGGAACTTCCCTGGTGTCTTGGGACTTACACGGACGTGCAAGTTGTACTATGTCTGATTGTAAACACCCCCCACACCACCCGCCATGGTGGAAAAAGTAGCTGCTCCGTGTTCCTGTAGGTGCAGAGAGCCCGTGCTCACGCTTGTAGGCAGTGCCTCCTGGACCCTCCCTTTGACCTGACTTGGAGGGGTCAAGTGGCCTTGGTAATGGAATGGGAACAAGTATCTGTGATTTGTTTGGTCTTTCCCCACACACTTGACAGTGGTCACAGGTAGCTGTCTGCCTGGGCACGGAGTGGTCTGAGATCCACTGCTGCTGGAGGAACTGTCTTCTTTTTCCTTTGCCCTATGTTAATATGCCAAAAGGCTCACACCAGGCACACCTCATTCTAATATAAATTGTAAAACATTATTGATAACAGCTTTAGACCTCTTAAACATTACAACTTTTATATATTGTATGGGATACATCTGTGGGTGTAGCTAGCTCAAGATTGTGCCGCCTCTCTGTAGGGTGGATCATTGATCAACTTCAAAATGCGTGACTGTCTAGGAAGGCACCTATGAAAAGTGAGTTCCATACTGAGCCCAAAAGTCAGGAATATCTGTTGCATAAGAAATAGACAGGGTCACAACTCTGATCCGGGAAACAGAGGGGCTAACTACAGATCTTTGCCTTCTCTCCCCTCCAAATCTCATCCCCCAGTTTCATCCCTAGCTTTGCAGCACACCACCTGTTGAGGCCTCCCTATACCCCCTTCCCTCCTCTCGAGTCTATTGTACAAATCAAACCTCTGTCCCTGCTCATGGCTTTACCCGAACCACCAACACCAGAAAGCAGTTAAGTCTCCCTGGGAAACCACAGGCCTTTTCAGCCTGGGAAGCAAGTTGGCTCCATCCCTCCATGTCCACTCTCCTAGTCTAATGTCCAGAATTCTAGCAGGCCTTTTGCTATGGCCTCGCCTCACTCTGTTGCCAGTACCAGGGTACTAAGTAGATCCTGATGTAATACCCTGCTTTCTTCCCTCCTGTGGATCCCTTTAGCCCCCCCACATCCCATCCCCATTCTGCAGAGTCAGCTCTCAATACCCAGAAACACATTTTCCCTGGTACCCCCAAGTTCCCACACCTACCAGGACCTTAGAAGCATTTCCTACCAGGCAAGACACACACAGCCACTACACTCTTAAGAACCAGAGAAAACAGAAACCAAGGAACCAAACACCCACCCAACAAAGACAGGACCAGTTAGCAGCACCTAGAATTCCACACTACTGTATTAGGTATCTCAATTCTGTCTCTGAAGAAGAGAAATGATTCCTTCATAGCATTTTGATAACACATACAATAATAAGTTACTATTTTAAAGTAATGTTTTGTTTTACAGAAGTGGTTAAGCCCAGTGTGACCTCATCTTTGATGTGGCCTACATTTCATAATTTAGAATTTTGTGTTACAAAAGAAAAATGGATTAAATTCACTGCGTGTCATGCAGTTTGTATTTCAAGAAAGTATTGCTTTTAGTTTTGCTTTTTCTCCCAGTGACTTGTAGTTCCAGCTCTAGGGGAATCCAACTCCTCCAGCTGGTGCCAGCATTTTCGTGTGCTGCACGCATGCACATGCATACACACACAATTACAGTGTATCGAGTATTTTTGTATACTTTAAATAATGAATAAATGTGCCACTCAGAGATTGCTGGGCCAGCCATCCTGCTGGACTCCAGGGCCATGGGACCTCTGTTCTCACTGTAGCAGGACTCCCAGGTGAAGTGTCTATGTTACAGCCTGAGAAGCCAGCCCAAGTGAAACCAAAGGCAACCCTCTTCTTATAAGACAATGCAAAAAGCCCACACAGCAGTCTTCCCGTGGATTGTTTAAACCAGAGGTAGCTCTGTTTCCCTGTGGCAATGCTTGGAAACCACTGTCAAAGACTTTCGGGGAAGGAAGGAAGGTGCTGTTGCATCTAGTAGGGAAGGAATGCAGCTACATATACCACAAGATGTCAGCAAAGAAGAGGCTTGAA